AAAACACAGATCGACTCCTTCGCACTGCATAAACTCCTGCAACTCATATTTCCTGGGTAGAACGCCGTCTGCGCTCTAGAACAAAAGGGGGGTATGCTGAAGTGCCCATGGTCTGAAAACCATTGTAAACGGTTCCAACCCTTATCTACCTAATAAAGCATTGTTGACAGTTGTCAATATAGCAAGCAGATGCCGCGGTGTGTATTGCTGTTATTTGTCCTTATGGTTATTAAAAATTTGTTTGGGGAGTCGTCTTTGGGGTCAAGCAAATGGCATACGAGATCACTGGAGTTAGCGGTTTGATAAACTAGTCTTCTTGGATAATTTGCCTACAGATATGATAGTTGGCTGTGTGCGCCTCACCAAGAATGGCACATTTGACAAGACTTTCTTGTGCTTTTGCGCACTGAGCAATAAAGTGACCTTCCCCACATTTAATGCCTTGGGCCGCAGAGCAAAAATTAGCACTGAGCTCGAAGATTTAGTCCAAGTTCTTCAACTCGGTTTGAGGATAATTTTCGATAGCTTTTGCCGTTCGGAACTAGGTGGTATATACACTTACACTAAAGATAATGGATGCTTCTTGCGTTCATCGTATTTGTCCTCCATGCGCAATCGTGCCACTCGAAGGGGTGTAGTTCTTTGTGCGCGCAGATTCGCCTCAACGGGGGAAGTGTCAAGTTCATTATATTTGTTACAAAGAACGAACGTTAATGACTTGTCCCTAGGTACTTGATAAGTAAAGTATTGCGGTACTTATCGGCAACTGTCGTAAATAATTTAATACCTAGGCGCGGCTCTCTTAACCTAGAGACCTTCGTTCCTTTTGCTAAAATTGTACATGGTCAATTTTGTTTTTCACAAAGAGTAACGGGTAGTATCCTCTCTTTCTTGATGCAATAATAAAATTTATGACCTCGCTGCAAAAATAAGGTCTCACAAATTTTAAAGTCATTGATTGACCTCTATTACTGGGTTATGAAGGTAATATTTTTGTAAACTATCTATATAAATTATCAATCCTCAAAATGCTTTTTGAAATTAGATAATATAAGCTCATACCTCAGTAACTAACCTCTTTAATCCCCTCATACTCTGGCGAATTAACTTTGTTTTTTTAAGCTAAGTAAAAAAGCAAAGACTTACTCTCTCTTAACGTTACCAGCTAATTTTTTATTTCGAGCAATTGTTCTTGTAAAAAATCTGCCCTTCTTTTAAAATTATGTTTCTAAGAAGAAAAAGAAGCAAAAAAAAGCAGCACTTTTCAAAAGTAAATATTTAACCCTTTATAATTTTATTAATATTATTATGGATGTAGTATTCCATGAAAGTTACATTTTAAAAAAATACTCTTTATTAAATTCGCCTGATACCTTAAAAGATGATTTTCTGAACCTTGAGCTAGACATAAATTTTTGAAGTGGTGGAAAATCTAACAACAATGCACAAACCAACTCCCAGGAAAATTCTTTATGTACAAATTATTTCATCTTTTTAAAAAAGTGCACTTAATTTAGAGCTTTGGGGAGGAATTGCTTTTCATCTTTAACTTTATATCTCCTTGGGATTAGTTCTACTTTTGGTTTTTGCTTATCTTTTTCAATGTTGTAATTGGTATAAGATTGTACATATTACGTTGACCAGGAAAGGGAGTTATCACCATATTTCAGTGGTTACCCTAACCTTTACCCTATTACTATTATTATTGGTTGAATTACCGTCAGTTGAGCTTTCCTCTTCTGGTGGTTACGTGCATATCTTTCCTAAGAGCAAATTTTAATATAAACTACTGCAGAAGTGTATTTAGCAACTTTTAATTATTATATTTTTATGTTTACTATCCTAGTGTATTACCCTTTTTATCCTAACATTGTTATTCCAGAGCTAGTTTCATAAACTTCGCTGAAGCTATGAACTGAGCGGCAAATATAAAAATAGAAGTTCCAGACCAAAGAGGTATAAGAAACAATGATACCTAGAGTGTTGCTACAAAACAATGTTTATAGAAGGATGCTTAGTAATCTATGATTCGTGTTAAAAGCTAAAATTTGTGACTTGACACCGTTTTAATCTCCACATGTCCCCAAGTTTTCAACGTTTTCGACTGGAAGCTAATAAAGAAGCCATAAAAAAACGATCTTTATCACACAAAAGTTAGAGTAATTTTGTTAAGAAAGAACTTTAGCTATCTACAAAGAGGTAGGTGTTATAACCGAAACAAAGGTTACAAAGTTCTAAAAGATAAAAAGCGCCCAACTAACCGAAGTTAGCATTAAAAATTTTCTGAACATTAATAATTGTAATTTAGGCATTTTCAAAATTAAAGAATAAAAGAATAAAGGATAAATAATGAGATGAACAATTATCGTTAAAACTAAATTATAAGAACAAACACAGAACAATTGAGATTTAAAGCAGAAGAGTTAAGAGCTAAAATAAGGAGGCGCTTTATTTTAAAGAACATAACAAAATCTAGCTTTTCCCACCAGGTGGGCGCCTTGTTATTTTTTTTATTGCACTGGTGTGCTACAGTCGTTTGGGTAAAATAGCTAATAAACTACTTAATGCTTATTCTACACCCTTTCAAGTAGAGTTAAGGGCTCTTTCCCGGCAAAGATGCTGCTTTTAAAAATCATGCTTTAAGAAAAAGTACCTCTATATGGAGATTAGGTTCAGTGAGTAAAATATTCTTGACTTCAAAAAACGCAAATTGTAAGGCTTATTTTTTACTATTATAGCAATTATTCGTAAATGCTTTAATTTACTAAATTATTATTATTATATAACTATTACTATGATATAAATGAGATAATTATTTTTATCAATACTATTACTATTTTGTTTACCAGTATAGCTCTCTTGAAATCTTACATTTAAAGTTACTATTCAACATAGTAAGAAGGAGTTTTGGTCGTTTGTATCGTGGAAAGTGGGAGGAATAATAATTTTGAAGTCAATTCTCGGCTATACCTAAGAGCTCCTGTAAACATTTCTTTTTTTTAAAAAGTAGTTTCATAGTAGTTGCAATCTCTACCTATGTTGGAAACCTGGGAGTAAACTCATAAATGGGCTAAAAATAGCATTGTAGGTAATTAATTCGTTATTTAAACTAAGGGCGCTATACTCGCCTATTAGAGACCTTCCAATAAGTTTGGCATCTATGACACCGAGATATTGATTTGATTAGTCCAGAGGTGGAAGATCTGAAATGAGAAATTTTTTAGTATTTTCTTCTTTTTTCTCGAGGAAAGCTGGAGTGCCTCTAAAAACCTAAACCCCTTTCACCAGGTTAACGGTTTGCGGTATATCATTCTGGCAATAAAAATCCTCGCGCCTGTCAATAGGAATGAAAACGAAAAAACCCACTGAACCACCTCATTATTATCTAAAAAGTGAGTTAAACTTTGGTTCTTAGACAGTCTGCTTTGCCCTAAAAATATTTTGCTTCTTAACTCAGTGTGGTGGTTACATCTTGTTCTGCGCAGTTTAAGGTTTCCCCACGGACGCTACTTACAAGGTTGCTTTTGCAAAGCTTCAAGTCCTTGTACCCGTAGCTAGCGGCGTGTAAGTTTACCTCCTCGTACATTAGCTAACAACAATTACAATTAGCTCGTTTTATAGAAATATATTTTTATTTTCATAATCTGCAACGCTACAGCGCTCACTCACCCCGGTGGAAGCCGTTTATTATAATATGACTTTCACAACTTCTCTAATAATTCGAAAATCTTTTTAGAATAGGTACATTACTGACCACATGACAACTTATAGCAGCTTTTATAATAAATATTTTAGAACTTCCTATGATTATCAGAAGATTGAATCCAAGAATTTTCGTTCTACAGCAAAAGGGATTCTAGCCGTTTCTTGTACACAAACAGAATGTATCATTAAACGCCACTCACTTAATTAAGGTAAGAATCACCGCAACTTATGTTCCAAAAGGAGCAGGGTCTTTCTAAATGATTACTCTCTTTTGCAAATTGTACATCCCCAATTTAAATAAATTGTTTTCATTAACCTGCCTTTTATGTTGTATCTTTGTTCTCTCATGTGCTCGAAACGATTGGAGGTAACTTGACAGATTCTACCATCTTTTATTAAATCTCTTAGATCCTCATAAGTCAATCGCGCCCCATCAAGGGGCGTCCCTTGTAGGATGCAATAAGCTAAAACTTCAATTATAAACTGTCGTTTCTGATTCTTGGTAAATTTTTCTAAAAAGCTTATAAAAAAGTCTGTTTTATGCTAAAGAATTACTAAGTTATTAGCTCTGTCCTGGAGGGGAACAGTAAATTCGTTTACTAAGCCATTCTAGCGGCTGGTATTACCACGTATAAACTTCTTACGAGTTTTTTCCCATAATATATTACTTTCTCTCTGCCTTTAGGTTATTTTTCTTAGAAATCTTAACACGTTTTATTAAGTATAAATATTTATTGTCAAGAGTCCTGCGTTGTTAATATCTATTGTTTTCATCTATGGTTGAGTCGCAAAGGTCTTTCAGCATTTTCTTTTTTTTTTAACTAGTAACTAGCTGAAATTTTATCACTTTAAATAACGTTAATTCATTTTTTAAGTTTTTCAAGATTAAACTAATAGTTTTAGCCTATCATCAAAGAGAATCTAAACATTCAAATGTTTATTTTTTAAACTTAATAAAACCAGTTTCGTACACAGGAGAGTAATACGTAAATTAGCAAGCGCAACAGACAAAAACAGGCACGACTACTCGTTTATTATAAATAAACTTTCTTTTTTTACTCGCATTTAAGCGCTAGAAGATCTGCCGACTTAAAATAGACTTGACAGAAAAGAGAGTGTCTACTATGCAATAATAATTTCTGCTAGATAGTTACTTCTCTTCAGTCAGGTATAAGTTTATACAGTTATTCTAAAACAAGCATAATCATATCATTTTCTAAAGCCTTCTAATTAAAAATAACTGCCAGTTAAATACAGGCTTTCTATAACTTAATAACTTTTTCTTAAACTGAGATGGAAGGCTCTAGCCTCCCTTATTTTTTATTGTTTGCTACATCAATGTTTCGTTCAAGGCATAGTGTTTTTCATAACTAGTATATAGCTTGGATGAGTTTCGTCAACCCTGCATTTCATAGTTTCATAAAGACGTAACTGTTCCTCAAACCCATAATTAAGGGAGATGTCGGGTCTGGAGATGGCCAACATAGTGTAAAAAAGTATTAACTATGTGAGCGTGGAACTACCTAGCCTTCGCGACAGTATTAAAGGCTTCGCTAAATGGCATCTATGAATAGTTCTGTAAAAGTAAATAGGCAAGTGCCATTCGAACTTATGTATTCTTAGCACCTTGAAGGTTCTCATTAAGTAGGAAATTACAAAGGAGACGCTTCTCGACCTGCCGTATCTGCAGTGGACTAGCACACCCCCTTTAAATTTGTAAGGAAAAATTATTTATTTTTAAAGTTCAAATAAAAAAATACCAGAAGCCCTGCCCTCATCTATAAAGGCGTGGGCATCCTCGAATTTGACTAGAAGATTTTGAACGGGAGTGTCGAGGCAGAATATAACTTTATAGCTAAAGTCCTAATCCTGATCAATAATTTTTTTAAAAAACTGCACTACGAGATTTACCTCAGGAAAGTTGCAAGGCAGCATAGCTCCTGTGACGAGAATGTGAGTGATGCTTTTCTTTTTTAGCCAATTAATATTTGAGGAAGCACTACTCATGTAAATTGACGTAAAAAATTATAAGTTGTTATTATATTTAAAGTGTCACAGCCTCTTTTTGTACAACATACGACCTTTGTAAATACTAAAAATTAACTATTCAGCGCGTGAAAAACACCTCGCTGAGCCCACCCAAAGACCTCTAGCAGGTAAAACTTCACTTGCATCCACATCAAATAAAATACTTTCAGTTGACATTAATTCCTTTTAGCACATAATTTATATATGTAAGAACTTTTTATTAAAGAGGAAGAAGGTTTATTGAATAAAGGAGTCGATCTATAATAAATTAAAAGTTCTAAAAACCGATTGTAGAATGACTCACCCCAGAAATCATTACTTCAATTCAATAAATACAATCATTATGTGTTATACAAATTATAACTTTCTTGTAATAAGAATTTTCGAAATTAAAATCTTTATAAAATTGGTTTTCGAATGAACAAGGAAAGATATTACGAGAAAAGAATAAAATTTTCTGCCGGGCGTATTCTACATTCCATTGTTGTGAGGGTTAAAATATAATGTGGGCCCGATGTAATCGATGCTTGAAGTTTCCGTGGAGAAAGACGGCTGCGGCAACTTCTTTTACAAAAAACATCACCGAGCTAATTCTTTGTTTCACGCCAAGTGTACTTGAATATATGAGATAGGCTACAATTAACGCTATATATATATATCTGATTTTTCCAAAAAAGTTAAAGGCGTTAAAACATTATTTATCTAGCCAGTCCTCCGAATTTTTGTAAATTAGGATCTTCGATAATTCTTCGTAGTGGAGGGTCTCTGCAACCTGCTTATAACGCAAAACTAATTGGTTAAAAATCGATTCGCATCAATAAATTACAATGTCAAGGTTCGAGTAAATGGGTAAACAAAAAGTTTTGTCAGAAATACTTAATTCTCATTATATACATTTCTAGCACATTTTTAAGAGCTTTAAAATCACTTTCAGAGGCAATAGTTAAAAACATATTTAAATTATAAATTTTTTACAAGAATTTAATAAGTTGCAATTTAAAATAACTGCAGTTTTCATTTTTAACAATACACAGCTATTACCTTGTTAAAGCGGATTGGAAAATATCAACCCACTTTGAAATTTTTCATAATTAGTTCAACTCGTAATTACACCATCCCGAAAGAAACTTTTAAATTTTATCTAAAAGTACCTTTAATAGAATAGTATATCTACATTTCAAGTCGAAGTTTTCCGCTAAAGAAAGCAAAATGGCTGTGCTCAAACTTTACTGGTCGCATAATTAAGCTATAACAAAGCAGACTGGTGTACACAGTAAGTGAAAAATTACTCGGATACCAGAAGTTATGGATGGTATATATGGAGTTACTAACTTGAGAGCGTTACGATAATGAGCTTCCCGGAGAATATATATTAATAGAGAAATGTATGAGTAAGGTTATTGTTACTTAAATATAATAATTGTTAAAATTGTATTTTCGGATGGCATAAAACTATCAAAAACTTTATTGTAAGACTTTAACGCATTTTTTGGAAACTTGAATTTTTACTTTATTTGTTCATTGTTAAAACTCGATACCTTAATATATGATTTTCCATCCCTTAAAAGTGGGCGTCCACTTTTTGGCATGGTGGAAAAGCAACATTTATGATATTTAATTTTCTAGAGCGGATGCCTATGAAATCTACAGAAAACATAAGGAGTGCTGTATTTGCTAGAGTTTAATTATTAAATTATCTGCAGTTATAGTTACTTTTAGTACTAAAGATAACCACCAAGTTACAACCTTATTAACCTGAAATAGCTAACAGAATGAAGCAAATTTAAATTTATTGGTTTTTAGTTTTCTAGACTTAAAAAATTGTAATGAGTAAATTTTAATAAAGTAAAACTGAATAAATTTTCTTAAGTTCTTTTTGCTTTTTGTCTTTACCTCACAAGTAGCGGAATTGAACCTATTTTTAGTTAGTAAAAGTCGCAAAGCAGGGTGCGCTCACTTCCCCTTAGAACCAAATAAAAGTGATCTTTTTTTTTAATCACTATTACGTCACCGTGTAAGCAGAATTCTTCTACAAAGTTTGGGCACAAGCACTTAAAAAAAAATTATAATTTTATTTTTATTGACTAACTCTAATCTTTATAAGTAAAATAAAAATAATCTTCAATACAGTCAAAAAATTCAACCAACGATAAATTCCGTGATATTTCAAAAAATTCTTCTTAAAGTTTAGCCAAAGGATCAAAAATATTCATACTTTCGTAAATGAGCTCATTTTAAGGTTCCGATTCTCGGCGGTGAAAAAAAAATAGTTCGAGTTTAATTTCAACTATAACAAAACGCACCAACCTTTAAAAAATTCTTAATCTAGATATAAATATAAAAATATTGATATTTAAAAACAAATATCTTTAGTTGTAAATACGGAAAGATAGATTTTCTTTATCACTCTTAACTTTTTCTAAACCATTCATTTTCTTAAATACATTTGTATTTTTCAATAAAGTAACTCAAGTATTATATTATTTTTTACTTAACAAAATTTTAACAGTATAAAAATTTAACCTTACAACTTTGTTTTCTTTGGCTATACGAATTTTGGTTAAACTACTAAATCTGTTATGAAAATATACTTTCAAGTCTGGTAAACCTTTTATATTAATGCTATATAAGTTCACTTTTTCTTCTTCCACACCAATAAACTTTAATGGTTTAAATAGTTATAAAAAGTCACACAAAAAATACTCTGTGATTTTTAATAATGATAAGTTTTAATAGAAATAAACAGGTACAACTGAGACGGAACTTATGAAAAAAAAAGGTCTTTTTTTGTAATAAAAATAACACAACTGCGGTTTTCTGGTAGTATATGTAACTGAGGGTAACCGGTTTTGAGGGCACAACCCTTATTGAACATTTAGGGGGTCTCGTGAGCACCGCACTCTTTATTTCTTTGCCATTTGCCGTCCTGTGTTTGTCGGGTGGTGAGCGTTGTACTACTAGACGGCTCGAGAGCGGTAAAATAAATTATTACAGCCCTTCTTAATTTTTAACTAACTTTATATTATATCTCTTCGTTATATTATATATCATATTACTTTTAATTTTATTTACTGTAATAGTACTTCAAGTTTTTAAATTTGTAAGATCTATGAAAGAAAATAATAACTATAGGTGGGGACTTCCACTGTTGAAGTAAAATTTTCCCATAAATTTTATAATATTTTGGCCATTTATTTACGTTTAATACAAAAAAAAATTTAGTTTTTAATAGTTTTTATTTAAATTTATAATAAAAACGTAGCCTTTTAAAATTTCGCAAGAACTTGAAGAAATTTTAGATTTTTATATTTTTTTATCAAAAAAAAAAATTTGTTTAGAAACATACAACCTTCTGAATTTACATTTTTTAGTTTTCAGTAATTATAGTAAGAACTCTTAGAATATTGATTTTCCATAGCTTTTTTTATATTTTATTAAGACGACCATTTATTACTTTAATTTTTAGTTTCCAATTATTATATTAAGAAATTTTTAAAATTTTATATTTTATAGTTACCCTTCTAATTTTATTACAATACTTTCCTTTCTTAATTAATAAATTTTAGCATTAATTTATTTTAGTAAAACTTTAAATATTTCAATTTTATATATTTTTTTTAAACCATTTGTCAATATGAGAAAGTTAACCTTATAAGTTTAAAATTTTTTAGGTTTCATTTATATCTAAATATTAGTCTTCTATAGTTTTTCCTTATAAATAAGAGACAATTTTTTAAGTTCACCATAATAGTTTCCATATCCTTACAATTTCTTTAGTTTTAATTATTCATAGTTTTTCCTTTTAGTTTGTTATAAAAACTTAACCTAAAAATTTTTGGATTTTTAGTTTCTATTAAATATGTTTTAAAGTATATTTGGCCTTTAATCTCCCTTAAAAACTTAATTTTTAAGTTCAAGATCAATAGTTTTCACTTATTTTAAAAACTATAAGAACTGTTTCAGTTTTTTATAGTTTTTTATTTTAAATTTGTTATAGAAACTTAACTTCTAATTTGTTATCTATATTTTATCAATTATTAATATTTTAGTTTAAATTCCTTCAAAAAAGTTAACCCGAGTTTATAATTTAGTTTCTATTAATTATTTTAAAAATTCTAGTTTTCTACAGTTTTTTCTATAAATATATTATAGAAACTTGATACCATCCGCCTCCACCACGACATACGTGAAGAAACGTACCCCCTTGGTTACCTGTTTGATGAACTGAAGGCACTTATTTACCAACACCGACACTTTTTCCGAGTGGCCATTTCAGATCGCTGAGGACAAAATAGCACCAAACTGGTTGCACCGTGTATTTGAAAGAAGTCGACCTAGATGACCAGGCGAGTGAACCATGGCATGGAGCACGTATCGTCGTCACGTGATGCGCATTATGTTTCCCAGATTTGGGCAGTTAGGGCGGGTATTAGTATCAAATTATAAACTGCCGGTATCAGCACACTCTCATCCGAAATTAAATAAGATTGTTATGTAAGTGCATAAGCCCCTCTCAAGGGGTCAGCTACAGCCTTCGTATTATCTTTGAGGAGGGCGTGTGAACTGCTGTTTCACCTTCGACAAAGCTTCTTTTTACTAATCACTAAGGTATAATTGATATCGCGTGCTTGGGTAAACACAACAGGTTGAAAAAAATACGACGCACAACTAAAAGGGTCAAAGGTATAATAGTAAGTTTGACCACACGCTTGTCCGAAACTAAAGATTTTTCGGGTGTCGTGCGAAGCAACATATTAGTAAGATTTTGTCTATTTTCTTTTCTACTTGCTAGCTAAGAGACGCTATAGTTTAAAAGAAGGTTTTATGTGGAGGCAGTCAGTAATAACATCTCAATTACCGCTACCCCTTGTATAGAAACAGTTTGTGATGAGTGCTTGGACTGGCATAGCATGCCGGGAGAAGGAATGTTCGGCGCTGAGTATCACGGATGAATTCATGAGTATTTTGTGAGAAACAACAGGAGATGTAGAATATGTCTGAGCAGAGAAATTCGGGCTTAAAAAGAAAAGATGATATATATGAGGCCAGGTGTCACAATTCTGGAGATCGTAGAATAGAAACAAAAATTGGATGAAACAAAAGTAACTTAAAGAGAAACATGCAAAAGGCGCTTTATATAAAGTAAGTAACAGATTCAACTTCTCACTTTAAGGTTGGAAGCCTTAAAATATCTGTTTAAGTGCTAAAAACGCAAATTATAAAGTTTTTACGCGTTTTCGCGTAAATATAATATCCAGTGAAAATGATAGGGCGCATGCTAGGTTCATCATAGGACTAGGAGCGGTGATGAGAGGCTGCGATTGAGGTAAAAAAAATTTTAAGGTAGAAATTGAGCAGATGGGCCTATTTTTCGGTGATGTTGAGGTGGGGGTAATGGGGAAGTCGGTTCATGCAATATGGTCAGAGAGCTGATGACTTTGTTGCGCTCTGGAGTAGGCAAGAAATGTGAAGCATATGGCTAACGAATAAAAATAGCTTATAAGTTAGAATCTTTAAAGGTTAAACCGGAAGAAAACATTTTACTAGCTTTTACTAGCTTGATCCCTTCATGAAAACAAAGACAGGTTTAAGGTTCTTATTATAATAAAGGAATATGAAAAGTTATAAAGGCTGGGCTGCTAGAAAAAGGCTACAAGTAGAGTGTATAAAGGTAGTAGGAAACGAAAAATAATAGAAATAACGTGGGAAAAAGTGCTTTCAGAACTTAAGAATTTTTAAGGATGGGCGGCGCATTGAAATTTTTTAATATGTATAATAGAGTAGTAAAAGATTTTTAATAAAAGAGACAAATTTATGCCAAGAAATTTTTATTGAAGGGAAGTACACAGAAATTATTATAGCGTTGACAATACCAAGTGGAAGAAAGGCGCAATGGACAGTATTACCATTTGACTAAGTCAATGTACCTTTGGAATATTTTAAAATAATGGGTACAGCCTGTGGAATACGTTCATCTGAGTGCATGGCTAGTTGCAAGTGTTTTTTCCAAACGGACACATTAAAGATTTTGCGATCTATCTGGCGGGTTGAAAGTTATATTTAACTCGAACTCGAAAAGTGATACTTTGTTAAATCCTCGGTGAAGTGGTTAGGAAGAGAAGTTAGTGTGCAAGGGGAGCGAATGAGTGAAGAACGTATGCTTGAATTAGAGCATAGGCATATTTAACACCAAAGATTTAATGAGTTTTCCTCAGACTTTCAAATTTTTATAGGGACTAAATGCCTAACTGTGCGTAGATACTGGTTACCATTAAGCAAGATAGTGAAGAAAAAGGTGAAGTTTGAATGGGGCTATTAACAGGAGGCGGCATGAGTTCATTATTTTGCAAGGATCGTGGGTTGGTACTGAAGCAAGCAGCGAGGGTATAGGAGTTGTTTTTTCCAGTTATACCACTGCTGAATGGATTTTGTTGCTTTCGTTAAGCTTTTAATTCAATGATGTATTGGCAAAGAGGCCATAGCGGTAGCTTGGTGCCCTAATAATCCTAAATGAATTGCATGCCGCAGACAATTAAGCCATTAATCCTAAAAACAGGGGAAATCTATTGAGTATTTTTCGCAATGAGCATAAATGTTGTGTCGGTTTAGGGTAAGCGATGTACCCTCGGTTTTAGAAGTCACTCCGGAAGGAAGTAACAATTGTACTTGAGAGAAGGTACTCAAGAAGTTGACATAGTTGGTTGTTGCTGTAACTTACCATAATGAGGATCAAATAGAGTGAGTGCTTGTTTCATTTGGATAAAACAAAACTAAAACAGATGCTAGCAGATAAAAGGCTAGAAGATCATGTAGGTAAGGTGGTATAGAGCTGAGACGCATGTCAAAAATCTGGTAGTAGAAACAGGAAAACTTGTATGAAATTACAACTTACGGATTTGCCTGAAATACCTTTCGGATACTTAGTAGCTTTATAGCAATATTACGTTGATTAATGAGGTAAAAGGATATTGTTTTAGGGGTAGTGGAGGATACACTTGGTTTGAATGGAGGCAAACTTTAAAAGAGGTCAGACAGAGTCAGTTATTGAATAATTTAAATTGCAGGTTATCCGAGCAAGTTATCCCTGATAGTCAATATTTAAAATTGGAAAATTTCTAACTAATTTGGAGTAAACAAACACTTTATCACTACGAATCACCATTAGTCAAAAGAAGGTTTATGTAATAGAGCAATTTTGGCTTCCAAGAAGCTTTGTTAAATGCTAGCAGTCAAAGAGGGGTAGTAGAGCGGGTACCTTTATTAATCGAATATACACCTTTATTTTGGGTGAGATTCTTATAGTCGGGGAGACTTGGCTGGCATGATGCTGGCGGTGTCTCCGGTTGGCCTCGAACCTTGTTAAATTAACTAAATTAAAACAGAAATCATTTTTTTTTTTTATCTGGTAGTTTATTGTAATTTCCTTAGTAATGCAAATCTGCACGGGGTATTGCACAACTCCCCAGGAACTTAAGAGCCTCCCCCACTTAAAGGAAAATTAACTTTTCGAGGTCAAAAATGTTTTCATTGTACAGTCGCTTCAATCTTTTGGCTATTATCTTCGCGTTGACAAAAGTTAGCTCCTCTACTCAATTATGCGTATATAAGTCTTCCACTTGTACAAAGAAATCTCTCTGCGTTAATGCTCCAGAGAAATGTGTTCTTGCAGACAAAAGGGCTATTTTAACTGTTTTTAAATTTAAGAGTAATAAAAGATTTTCCACTGAAGATCTAGGAAACACGGACTTTAAAGGAGGATTATTAGATGTTATACAAGTAGAACTTTTGAAGATGAAGGTTTCTCGAAACAATGTATCCTTTTAATGTTACAGAATATGGTTGCCTAGAAAATTTAGAACTTTATTTGGAAGTATTAAGTGGTACCTCTCGTATTACCCTCTAATTTCATCGCGATGGTACCTTGGAGGCACTTAATAGTAAAAGTCATTTTATAAAGCTTTGTTCAGTTACGTTTTTTTTTTTTTAACTGCTTTAATTAGAAGTGTATGTATTTATAGGTTGAAGGGAAGGCTAATGAATTAAAGAATTCTGACCCTTATTTTGTTAACTGAAATACTTTAGTAATATTGAGCGTAGCCTTTAAATTTATATCACAATTAGTGTATTTTACTTTATTTTAAGCATAAAAGTTAATTGGTTTCATATTTTTACACAAGTTAGTAAAAAGTCTTAAAGGAAAGGATTAGATGCTGCGATTATATACAATTTGTGTTTCAATATTGAAAAAAAAAGTGTAAATTAAAGACTGCATTTAGCTAGTTTCGATATTTTTTGATACCCTTAAAAAAGTATGAAATTTTCATTTAAATACAAATATTTATATTTAGAGCTATCTTTAAAATAAATCAGAAGACGATAGCCAACTACCTCAATTCGATTTTTTTATTAAGTAAATATATAATTAAAAGGTAAGCTACGTTAATATTATGGGCCACCTTGCCATAATGGACCCACGCACTGACTTTTAAAAGGCTACTGTAAGTTAACTGCCTTTTTTAAAAGAATTTTATTAATATTTTCTTCCAAATTAATTCAATACTACTTTAACAATTAATAATAAAAGAACCTTGATGTTTTTTTATCTTTTACTCACTAGGCGTCTAGAATTTGCTATAAAAATGCAAAGTAAAAAACTCAAAGAAGTAAGTGCTAACTTAAAGCAACGAGTAGAGTAAAAGACCGTCTTCTATAAAAATACTTTTTGCTCACAATCCAAACCAAAGGAGTGTAAAGGGGTTTTTTAAAAAGTAGGCTTTTTTTCTTTAAAAAAATTGTTTTGCAAGGCATACAAGGAAAGTGTATACTTAACTACCAAGGCCAAAAAGTAGTAGCTGCAAATTCGGAGTTGCACTTTTTTAATTAGATAGACTTTTCTCTGAGAAAAGTACGCTAAAACGCAAATAGCAAAAAAAACATTTGTAAATAGCCTTTTAAAACTTTTACAGCGTAGTATATTGCATATACAGGTTAACACAAAGACTATAATTTAGGAAACAATTGGTTGATATAAAAAAAAACTGAATGACCAATCCTAAAACCGAAATAATTATAAAGTTCTACAATATATAAATATACGCAAAAATTTAAGTCTAGACGTGCTTAAGACTTGAAGCTTGCCTTAACCACCCAGCAAAAAGCCACGTGAAATTTTGTAAATATGTTTTAACAAGCACTTTTTTATCGTTTTCATAAAATGAAAGTTTTCTCTCGGCCTGCCACTCTAAGGGGGTTTTTTAATGCCCCAAGTCACTTATATAAACTAATATCTCATAATACATGTGTATTTTATACCGAGAATCTTCGGTTTTACAGTGAGTTATCTTGTTCGCAATTTTCAAATGTTTTAAGCTCCCATTCGAAACCTATTAAAAATGCTACAGAAAATTTTAATTCATGCTATAAAGCTGCTTTTCCACCGACTTTAGTATATATTAACTATTGTTATAATTTAATTTACTTATTGTAAGTTTAATTATTATTAGTTTACGAAGTTACCCAACGGCATGAGGGTGGCTAGCGAGAATTCCGGACATCCCTCTGCAACTGTAGGCATATGGATCGACTCAGGAAGTAGGAACGAAACAGATGCGAATAATGGTGTTGCTCACTTTTTAGAGCATATGTCTTTTAAAGGAACTACAACTCGAACTCAACGAGATATTGAAGTTATTTTAAAAAAGTTTTATTATAAATTTTTTTATAACTTTGAGTTTAGCTTGAAATTGAGAACATGGGAGCTCTATTAAATGCTTATACTTCTCGAGAGATGACTGTTTATTATGCTTTTGTGGATAAAAAAGACATAAAGTCTGGTAAGTATCATTCGATCTTGACTTTCTTTAAATATATTAAAGTTAATCTTTTCAAATGTTTAGCATTAACGATAATTGCCGACATTTTACAGCGCTCCACTTTTCCTGCCGACTTACTAGAACGAGAAAGATATGTAATCTGCAGGGAAATGGAGGTCACAACTGAAGTTTTCTATAGATTTAGTTTGAAAAATAATTATATTTAATTAAACAATATAGGAAGTCACTTCAGATAATGAAGAATTTTTATTCGATATTCTTCATGGCGTTGCTTATGAAAGTTTTTATTATTTTTATTTATATAACTTTTATGTTTTTAATGCTCTTTCTTGTTTTGCTTTTTTTAAAAGATTCTCCACTTTCGCGAACTATTTTAGGGCCAGAAGAAAATATTATGAGCTTAAAGAAAGATGATATCATTTCTTACATTCAGAAGGTTTATATATAAGTACTATAAGGAAGCAGCATATAAAATTTTTACTTGACGTGCACGCTTTGATTAATTATTGACCTTCATGAATTTTTTTTGACTATCGCTTTGAGCTGCTGGCCGATAAAATTTAGAAAAGATCACTTCTTAGGATTTAAAATATTTATGGAAGTAAAAGTTCATTTATGATGAATAATTGTTGATTTACAATTGGAATTTAAAAAAACTTTTAAGATTAATTTATTACTTGTGTGGAAAAGACTAAGTTACTTCTACTGTTTGCATCTATTCTAAAAAACTTTTCCAAGAATTTCTAGTTTATAACAAAAATAGAATTTTTTAACTAATTTTTTATGTAATTTTTTAAGTTTGTCTTATTTGCTTATTATATTTTGAGGTTAAATGTAGAATATTTTTTTATAAGGCTTTATCTGTAAACGCAATTCGCTTTTAATTTTACGGAAGAAATCGTTTTAATTTTAAAAGAATTTTTTTTTTTAATTTTTTTAACTAGCAAATTTAAACTTTTTTATAAATTTTTATTTTTTTAAAAAGTAGTTCTTTTTTTTAATTTATTTGCTTTATTGACTAATATCATATTTATTTAGTATTGTTAACTATATATTACAATTTGTTTTAAATTTTTTTGGATTTTCTTTAACCTAATTATAATATATTAAAAACTAGATAGCACTATTTCTTTACCTTTGCATGCCGCTTATTAAGTTATTTACTTGACGTTTTTTTTTTGAAAATTCACTAATGTACAATAAAAGTTTATTGCCGTTGTAATAATATTTATATCTTAAAAAACGTATAAGAATTATTCTTGTGATCGAATTGTCATCTGCGGCGCCGGCGGCGTTTGCCACGAGGAACTTGTTCGGATCGCTCAAGAACAATTTTCAAATTTTCCAGTTTTTGCTGAAAATAAGGATTTTTTAAAGTCTACTTTTAAAGTATTTGTTTTTATTGCAGAACAGAACATCTTTTTATAATAAATTTTATAAGGGCGGCGAGAAACGCATTTCCGATACGTCCATGCCTTTAGGCCACGTGGTTCTTTCCTTTGAAGGTTAATAAATTACTTTATTTATTTACTTATTTTAATATTTATTTTATTTATTTAACATATTAATTTTTTTAAGGCTCCAGTTGGTCGCATCCTAATTTTTTCCCCTTCCAACTCGCATCACAACTGATTGGCAGTTGGAATCGATTTGCAGGAGGGAACGTGAATGAGTCTAATCCTTTAGCTAATAGAGTAGCAGAGTATTATTATTGCTGTTGTTGTTGTTCTTTGATTATTATATTTGATTTTAGAAGTGATTTGGCTCATAAGTTCATGTCTTTTACTACTTGTTATGCGGAGACGGGATTGTGGGGAGCTTGTTTTAGTTCTGAACCAAACAAAGTTTTATTTAATCTACTTTTTTTTATTTATTAAATCTATTTTTATTATCCTTGTTAGTATCGGTTATTTTTTTATTACTTTAAAGGTGAGAGAAATGGCGTACGCGGTTATTGACGAATGGAATCGACTCGTTTATAACGCCGATGAATCGGATTTGGCGAGGTATTAAGTATTTATAAATATTTCCGATTATTATTTTTTGATATTTTTTTTTTTACTTTTTATAAAGTATAATTCATATTTTTTTTTTATAATTATAAATAATAAGAGCAAAACAAATTTTGAAAATGATGTGCATGAATTCTGTGGACAGCACGCAACAGGTTTGCGACGAGATTGGACGTCAAATTCTTACAATTGGGCGTCGAATGTCTCCTGCTGAGGCTATTGCTCGCATAGACGCCGTTAATTTAGTGGAGGTGTGTATATTTTTTAAAAGGAACAAATTTTATGGCTGCAATGTTTTTTCTTTTAGTTATACTTTATTATAAAAATTAATTTTTTGAATTATTAAAGTAATAAGTTTATAATTTTTTGTGATTCTTTAAGTACAATATTAGTTGTATTCATTATTAGTTAACTAATTATAATAATTTGCGCAGTCTATATATTGCATGTATTTTAGTTAATCTAGATTGTGTTGTATATGTAAATTGGCTGGTACTTATTTTTCTGTATTTTATTATCTTGTATATATTTACAGGTCCGCACTCTCTTACAGAAAACTCTTAGAAGCCCTCTTGCTATTGCAGCCGTCGGACAGATTGAAGATCTTCCCGATTACAATAAACTAATTTCTGCAATAAAAGTTAGCTAGCAGTTTCATTATATTCTTTTTTTAAAGTTTAGCTTTTTTTTAGTTTTCCAGGAGTGTTACTTTTCTGAGTAGATGGCGTTTTTAAAGTTGCTATGAATTTTGTATCGCATGCATAATAATTAGGTGAGAGAGGGCGTAAAGTAAACCTATTCCCTAATTTTTTCATGCCTACGCTACATAGCATCCTTTATTTCTTTTGAAATTGCCAGTCTTTGTTATAAATTACGCTACCGAGGATACCTTATAAATTTCTTTTTACAAGTAAGTCTTATTAGAGACAATCTACGTTAAAAGATAAATATGTTATAATACGGGAAAAACTCGAAATTATACCCATATGTAACCAAACATTGCACACTTTTTAAAAGATTTTGTAGTTTTTTTTATTTTTAGTAGAAATGGTAAAGTAGGCTACCTTTACCGGAAATGCTTATCATTGAGTCCTGTTCGTGCTTTAAGGGATAGTGGTCAGGGTTGACGTTGACTTAGGAGAGTTCTAAGTAAGCCTGTTCCTTCGGATACTAGTTAACCTGGAAGAAAACTGTCAGCACCTCAGTAAGGCTAGTGATACCTGCACTAGATTACTACAAGGTGATAGCAGAGCCTCGAATCAAATATCACTAACTTTTAAATATAAGTAAGGCAAAGATTACTTCTTAGCTGTGTTTAAAGAGTCGATAGCTAGGATCTTAGGAAAGTGTTGAATAAGATCTATTAACTTGAGAGAGTAAAAGACCCCCTTGGTTTGTACTCCCAACCTATGAAATACACACATGCGCGAACACTCTTTTGTATCCAAGATAGCTAAGGTAACCGGCATTACCTTTTCTTTCGCCCCGTGCAACACTAGTGCCTTAATTTTGAAATGCTAATGATCTAGTTGGGAACTGTAATAGCTCGCGATCAACTTTTAAGCAATTTCAATAGCGCTTACCTCAGTTCTGGTATAGTTTTATGTGAAGGGATATAACCCAATAGTGTTATTCCCTAGTGTATACTATATATAAGGGCGTATAGTTCTATATAAATACACAATTAATAATGCTCTTTCCGAGTATGTACAAGCGCGAGCACCTAAAGCACGAATTGGAAGTGCTACTACAAAAAAAATTATTACTTTATACAGCGCCAACTCATCAAATATAAAAGTATACAGTTAAAATACATCATTTTTCAGTTAATAAAGTCTTATTGGGAGGGTCACTAGAAGAAATGAAATTGTTACAGGAGAAACACGATAAAGGTTTATACTTTTTACACAGAGACACTAAACTACGAAACGCAGAATACTTAAATCAAAAAATCAAACGCAAAAATACAAAACCAAAAAAAAAAAAAAGAACTAAACACAAAATAAAACATATAACATATAAAATGACACAAAACTAAGAAAACTAAAATGTAAACTAAAAAAAAAAATTTAAATTAACGTTGATTGCCAATAATGAAGCATTTGAACCAATAATAAAACAGTTATAAGTTTAACCGAGAAAACTACATCAACTCAACTGTTTCACGGTTTTCACTAACAATGAGTACATACTAAATTAATCATAAAAAAATGGCCTTATGACTTCGTAGAAACTAGCTTCTTGCGTAAAGGCAGTTATAAAATTATTCATAATCTGTTTTCATATATTCATTTTATTATTATACATCATTCTTTTTAATAAATTTTAATATAATTTAAGTACAAAATTAAAATTATTGGAAAAAAGTTCAGGAGAGGAACCTAAAACATTAGGTTTCTAAAACCTTTTATGTTTGCTTCGTTGTAGAGCTTTAACTATGCCTTTCCAGTTAAATTTGTAAATATAGAGATCGCCATCATTATAAAAACCTTTTCAGAAAGTTTCCAAGAAAGGTGGTCGTGTGTACACTGCTGCAAGATTTAGTAATAGCTAATGGATCTGTTACCGACTAATACGAGCGCTTTGAGCGAATTAATAGGTTTTTTGGAGTAAGTGTAACGCACCAAAAGGTAACGTTACTTCTATTAAGATAACTGGGCATTTTGTATAAGAATAATATTTAATAAATAATAAACGTAAACGACTTTATTAAGTAGGAAACAATTAAACGAACAACAAGTATATCAGAACAAAGACGGACAAACTAAAAAAAACATAAACAGAACCCCGCAGCAAGAAAGGGGGAACCAGACCATAGAGAAATAAACACAACTTAGGATTCTCACTGTGCATGTAGGACGGTGTATAATATAATACTCGTTAAAAGACTGGTTAAGTAGCCACTCGCACTATTAAAGGTTAAAAGGGGGCTGGGGTCTTACAGTAAGTGGCGCTGTACAGATCATTATCATGTACGCCTAGACTAGGGGTATTATTAGAGCTAAAAAGTTAAATTTTGTTACCAAAATATTAGCGAGGTAAAAAATTTTAATAAGCTGATTAATTATAATGAAGATTTTAAATCAAATTTAAATATTTTATTTTTTAGATAATTTTGTCTTAATTATTATTTTTAAAAAACTACTACGAGTCAAATTTTATATTTTTTAATAAATTTTTTAATAATAATAAAAAAAGCCCTTGTCGGTTTTTTAAATAGTACAAATATTTAATGAACGGTTCATCATATGTGACACTAAAATTGATGTTTATTGGATTCTTAATCTTATGGTTTTAAACCGTGCGTCGCGATTTTATAGAGTACTTTAAACAAAGAGTTGTACGTCGACTTTACCCCATAATCTGTTACTCTTGGAGCAAGTTATTACCTCGAGCATCTAATTTTAACTTATTCTAGACAATTTTTAGATGAAAGGCTTGCGCCCATGGAGGGCTCCTCAATTCTTAATAAATTTTCTGTAGTGAAGCGCTTCTTGTGTCTCTTTCTTTATTATCTTGGTTTTGGTTTTAATCTTCTTATATTTATAGTTTCTATCATATTTTAAAAGGCTAATCCTTTCTCTTTATCATGTACTATTATTTCGTTTTTAAAATATTGTACTTAGTAGTCTGTTTTACACTTATTATTCTTTATATTTTTCAATTGTAATTTTGGCGGCTTTATTATCTTCATAGAATCCTTACGACTTTTAAGTCGTGTTATAATTATCAACTGTCTTAAAAAATTGATCTAACTTGTGCATATATAATTATTTATTAAATCTCGCTATTTTCAAACCTCGATATTATAGAATATCACTTTATTTACTACCGCGTAATATTGACTACAAAAAAATCAGCATGCCCATATTATATTCAACTGAAGGTGGTCAAATAAATAAAGTCAAGGTCCTGCGTTGATGATAACTTCGCAGTGTGTGAATGGGCGTAGCGACCATTTATAGATAGATGCTTATCTTGAAATAAGGATGTCCAACAAATAGGTTTTTTGCTGAAACTCTGTTGATAAGATCCTTGATTTTTAACAGCTAGTAAGAAGGAAGATGTGTAAACATGACGAGTTAAAGAACTAGCCATAATTGTTACACATTTGTTAGCCACGTGCGTCCATAAATTAGCACGGCAAGAATTTAAATAGAATACACATACCCCCGTTGGAGGGTATTTTAATTTTTTCTGCTCTTTGTTTCCTGCTTGGAACGTGTTGTGGTATAAAGGGCAGCCTAATTACCGCATTATATATATAATTTTAATAAATTTATTAATACATTTATTCCTACCTTGAAATATCTAAGCTTTTATAGCTACTACCCGCGATAGTGCCATTCTAGGAATAACAGTTTAATCGAAGTGCACAAAAAAAGGGTTTCTCTAGAGGTGCGCCTGATATAAGACCTTTTAGTAGCGTGTGTCAACATACCTATTGCTGGCTTGTCAAAATGACTACACCATTACCTATAATAGATACCATCTTTTCTCATCAGGAAGTTCGATGTGATCTTAAAAGGTATTAAAGATATCATTATATCGTCCCGTCATGTATTAATTTTTCTGGATATTTTTTTTCCGCCTTATATCCTTCCATTCCTCAATGGGCATGTAGACGGATAAAGGGTCATATGCTAGAATTTTATGATTCTATTGGTGATGGATTGCTTGTAGCTGCTCTTTGTCTAATCCTTAGTACCAGTACCTTTGAATTTAACGATAAGCTATAAATGCAAACGAACGGGGTTCCTATGGGGAACCAGCCCCCCGTGTGTTGCAACTCTATACGTTGCATACTATGATTCTACAATGTTACACCCACTTATAAAACCAGACATATATAATAAAAGGTATGTAGATTGAAACTGGTGATTCTAAAAAATAGCAGTAGATTTCTTGATGAAAAGGCGCTGTTCATCCAAAATAAAATTTCTGGACTGAAATGAACCAAAAAATCTATGAAGGGGGAAAAATACAATCTCTGGGCCTAGGTATTCATACAAACGGTACAAAGTTACCAGCGGGAAAGGACACGAATTTATATTTGTGTCCCTTACTCCTCATTCGGCACTTCCACCAAGAACTGTGGAAAGTATGATGAGAAATCATGTATCTAAATATTTCAAACAAAAATTTTTCATGAAGACTTTGTTCAGTGTTGTAAGACTCTGTTTGATCATTAATTACAGAGTTCATTCCAGTAGACAACTTCACGAGATATTTAGATATGCCTTCTCATTGTGATCTAAAAATAGCAGAAGCGCAATAGATAATAACTACTTCTAACATGAAACGGTTCTTCTTCTATATATGATATGACCCGACCGGACCCGAAAGAAAATGGGTTAGAAACATACTCTTGTCAGGTTAATATCGACTTTGGCTGAAGACCATTGCTTATCCATTGCTTACTCCAGACCTCGGATGTCAGTGAATTATTAGGACCTAACCGTTTCATGCCCTCGGAAAGCGGTTATTTAAAAAAATTAGATGAAGACTGCTTAGCGTGCACTGACTCTTTTTTATATTTTTAACCTCTATTCTAGTGTCACATGGTTTTTTATGGTATTTTATATAAGTTCAATATGGGTTAAGCTTAGGGTTTGGATAGTGTAAGGGTTATATTAGAGAACATTCTTT